TGGCAGGGAGCAAGTGGTAGAGCAAAGTCACCTCGTGGTGACCAGGAAGCAAAGAGAATGAAAAGAAGGATCCAGGGTCCCTTCAAGGGCACACTCCCAGTGACGACTTCTGCCACTAAGTCCCCCTCCTGAAATTACCAGCACGTCCCAGTAACATCATTGGCTGGAGGCCAAGTCTAGTTCATGGGCCTTTGGGTGACATTTAAAATCCAACCCATAACTTCCCAGCCCTGGTCCCCCAAAGACTCATGTCTATTTCAAAATGCAAAAGGCATTCCGTCCACCTCCAAGAGTTCCCACGTTATTAACCGTTCCAGCATTCTCTGAAGTTCAAACTCAATGTCTCTTCTGAGACTCAAGGAAAACTCTGAGCTACAAGCCTCAATAAATATTAAAAAAAAAAAACAAGTTACATGCCCAATGGGACGAAGTGAACATTTCCATTCCAAAGAGAGGAATGGGGCATAGAGAGAAAGGGTGGGACTGAAACCCAGTGGGTGAACGTTGAATCCTGTCGCTCCACATCTCACCCATGGCACACAGTGGTGTCATGTGAGCGCCAAGGGGCTTGGAGACCCCCACCACAAGCTGCTGGCTCTTTCTCAGGTTGCTCTGCTCGTGCCCACTGTCTCCCTTGGCAGATGTCACATGCTGCTGCATCTCTAACTTCTCGTGGTCCCTGCTTCGGCCTCACTCCCATGGCTGCCTGCATGTCCCTGCCTGGAACTGCCCACAGGCACTCCAACCCCATCACATACTGCCTGGTTTTCCAGAATTGCCTTTGAAATCTCGGTGGAAATCTCCATGACCCTACAACTCCTGCATTCCTCATTCATGCAAAACAATTATCAAATGGATGACACGAATGTCCAGCACCAGTGGGAGCAGTAGCCAGGTCTCTGTGGATCACAGGTGCAGCAAACTCTGAATGCCCAGGTGGCTGAGCAAAGCAAAGCACACCAGAGTCACAAGGGCTTCCTAGTAACCCCATGCACGCAGGGTGCCCCAGAGCTCTCTGTTCAAACCAGTCTTTGAGCCTGCTGTTTGTCTCGCTGATTCCTGAGACACCCTCCAAGCTTCTTTCCTATTGTCCTGATGTAAATTATCACTTTCCTTTTAATGGTGCTAATATACTCAGTACCACATTCTCCTTATCTGCAACTATATTTACACTTTGTGTGTGTGTGTGTGCGCACGTGTGCAAAAATGAAAGTTTTTCAAATCTTTCTGCTTTTCTTTTTGTTCCTGATTCTCATTGTAAATATGGCCAAATGATATCATCAATACCCATGTCACTGCCTGAATGCCGTGCTGCCTTGAAATTTCATCCAGCAAATAAACTAGTCCATCACCTTTAAATTTAGCTTCACCCAAAGTCTCAGGGTTTGGATGACATGTAGACAAGTTCTTTGCCAGAAGGTAATGAAGATGGCCTCTAGTCTAGTTCTCAGTAGATTCTGCCTTTCCATAGGAGACCTCATGAGCACAGTCTTTACTGTCCACATTCCGGTCAGCATCCTGGGCTTCTGAGCTCCCACCGACATGACCATTCAGCTCTGCTTCCAGCATCTAAGACTTTTCTAGGACACTCTTCCAATATTTCCTAATTCCTCCTGAGAACCACTTCCAACGCTCTCTGAAACGCATGATCAGGCCACAGACCCACTCCTGGCACTGATTTTCTGTTAGTCGGCTTCCAGCACTCGGATAAAATATCAGAGAAAATTAACTTACAAAGAGGAAATGTTTATTTTGGCTCATGATTTCCAAAGTTTTAGTCCTGTGGGTTACTTGGCCCCATTGCCTTGGGTCTCTGGAGAATCGGGACATCATTGTGGGGAGCATGTGGTGGGGAAAGGCTTCTCATCTCATGGCGGGCAGGAAGAAAAGAGAGCAGAGAGGAAGAGGGACTGGCACACAATACCCCCTTCAAGTGCACTCTCCCAGTGGCCTAATTTCTCAAGTTTCCAACATGTGAACAGCACCTTCTGTTGAGGACCAAGCCTTCTTCACATGCACTTTGGGATACATGTGAGACGCAAACCCCCAACAGTCAGCTATTTCAATAAAGGCCCCTGAGCATTTTCTGGCTCCACACCTCTCTACGTTCAACCTGGCTACTTACTGAAGACAATGTGTTGGTTGTTCTTTGCATTCAAAATTTATCAACAGGATTCCTGTCAGAGCCAACCCACGAGGTGTTTTCTACTCCAAGGAGAAGACTCAAGAAGGACAAGGGATCTTGTGGGGGTTTTCAGGTACCCTGCCCGAGTCTCAGGTTTGTCAAAAGTGAAACAGGATGAATAATTCCTGAGGCACAAGGTGGAACAATGGGGGGGACTCTTGCTAAGTCTGAGATAGCCCACTGAGCATTGTACATAGATTTAAAAAAAATCTGTTTAACCCTCAAAATGCCTCAGTGATCTGGATCCTGCATCTCCCAGGCAGGAAGTGAGACACAGAGTTAGGGTTGGGTATCCTTCTGGAGAGAAGCACAGCTCGTACGCAGTGTACCCCAAGTAGGATGCTGGCCGTCCTCGGCGCCCTGTGCTATAGGCACAGCACCTCCACTTCTGCTTTCATCTCTCATGCCTTCCGCTGTGGTCTCTTCTCTAGCTTTTATGGGGACACTAGTTATTGGGTTTAAGGACCACTTAATCTGGCATGATGTCATCTCAAGCCTTGCCGTAATTGCCTCCGCAAAGACCTTCTTTCCAAATAAAACCGCATTCTGAGGTTCCAGTGTCTAGGGGGACACCCTTCCGTCTAATATAAACCCTGTTTCTTCTGCCCTAACACAATCCTGTAATCTAGGTAGTTATTTCTCAGAGTTCTGGAATTTAAAAGCCCAAGATCAAGACATGATTCCTACGTCTGCTGAGGGCTGCTCTCCTTCACGGTGGCCCCTCTGCTGTGTGCTCACGTGGCAGGAGGCGCAAACGCTGTTCCTCCCATGGAGAGTTACAAGGGCCAAGTGCCTCTCTGAGCCGCTTCAGTGAGGGCATAAATCCCCTTCACAAAGGCAGGACCCACGTCTTAACACCAGCTCAGTGGGCATTAGGCTCTGCAAGAGCTTGGAGAGAGAAACATTCAAACCCCAGCACGTGCTAAGAGCAAAGCCTCTGGACCCTGGAGACGGTTAGCGGCACTCAATCCCTTCCCCTCCCCTCCGGCTCCCGTGGCACGGTTTCCTCCACGGTCACTGGCACGGGCTCCTCCTCTCTTACCTGCTCTCCCAAATTCTGTCCCCCCATATCTCTCTCAACAGGCACCCTCTCATCCCCCGCCAGCCCCAGGTCCCTACTAAGGGAGCCCCCTGGACAACTACCTACCCGTCCCACTGCCCATCTGCCCAGAGTCTCCTTACCCTTGCCACCAGCCCCACCAAGCACTCCCCCTGCAGGCAGAGGTAGAAGCCTCGGGAGAACCTTCAGGGTGAGGGCAGAGAAGAGATGGAGAGAGGAGGGGGCAACGTGGCTCAGGAGAATCACAGTTCTGCCTGCCAGTGCCTGACCACAGT